TTTGCGCGTTCGCCGACACAATCGTGCGGGCAAACATGTCTAGCATGAGAGATCGCTATTTGAAATCACAGAAGCAGGAGGGTATTGTGTACCTGGGACAGAAGCGCGATGAGCGTCGCAACCGAGAGGAAGACGAGGGCGCCGGCGACGAGGTTGGAGAGAATGCGCGTCAGCGCCACGTACGATGTGCTCTTCTCGTTGGCGTTCTTGTCGGAGCGATGGCTGGCGGTCGAGCGCGCCGACGTTGACACTGTCTTGCCTAGCTGCCAGCCCGCGCTTTATACAGAGAGCCATGGACATCGAGGTGCGTACGTCTGACTGGAGGCGGTAGACCCACGAACGCAGCGGAATGACGACCATGGTGCAGCGTCTCCGTGCAAGCAGTGGATAAAAAGGCCACCAAGTTGAGAAATGTGACCTTGCTTGTTTGTTTTTAGGCGGTGGTTTCAACTAAGGGCCGATAAAACGCTTTTCAAGCACGCATATTTCAAGATGTTGATAAATACGGGACCAGATTGGTGTAGGTGAAAGGATACTCTCTCTCTCGGATTCTCAGGCTATCAATCATGCTACCACCCATGCTTAAATTTACGTTATCAACCCTGCTATGACCATGCGAACGCTATCAACCATGCTATTAACCCAATCCCTACCAAAGGAAACACGCTTGTGTGTACATTACTAGGGCGTATGCAAGAAGAAATTAAGAAATACAAGTGCCGCGGCTGTAGCTGTACGCCTTGAGCTTGTCGAGGGTCGTTTTGGTTTGCACCTTGAACATGTTGCTAGAGATGTAGCCGATAACGCGTGTGCGCCATGGCAGCCACGCCGGTGCAATCAGCGACGGCAGCAGCGCATAGATGCTAATGATCGCATAGTCGCTCGGCATGCTCTGTTTACGTCCAGCTGGGCCATTGCTGCGTCCGCACCATGAGCGAAATGCAATGCAACGAAAGCACGTACTTGGATTCGACGACGCACGCGTAGCCCATGAGGGCCATGGTGCTACACGCAGAGTACTTTTGAGAAGCCATGCGCTCGTCGAAACGTAAGGTACCTCGGCTTGCAAAAGATGCGGTTGCCAATCTTGATGGCATTCGACTGCTCGAGTGGCAGCGTCGTCAAGCACGTTGGTGGCATCACGTGCGAGAGGAACGAGTTGGTGCTGCACCAGCTCGTGTGCAGAAAAAAGCTAGCGTTGGAGGTGAGTCGTAGCCGTTTGGAGAATACGAACCGGCGGGAATAGACGATGCGGTGCAGCGTTCGCCAGCCGAGCGAGGCGGCCCAGGACGCAATCAGCGGCACGAGGATCTGCGACTCGAGCCACGTCACCACGGCGGGCGTGCCTTCTGCCACGTACGCACCCCTGGGCCATGTCGCATTGTTGATGTAGAGGCCTAATGCAAGAAATGTCATTCTTTTGACCGCCGACGAGAGCGCGATGCACCAATGAACGGCGGCGCCGCAAAAATGCGTTGTAGACCGTTTGAAACACCGCCCGGTCGCCCGCGCAGCTCCAAAATATAGCGGCAATCGACGCGTACATGTAGAGCGGCGCCGAGTACGTCAGACACTTTTGGCCAAGAAGTGACCGAAGGGGTCGGCACAGCCAATCCAGAAGGCTAGAAACGCTATAGCACAAAGATATGGCGACTGTTGCGTACCTCACTGCGAGAAGCCACCCAAAGGAAACGAAACTCGCCACCATGAGCGCAGAGAGACTCCAGATCTTGAAGCCATTTTCTGTAAAGAAGTAGATGCGCGAGACATCCATGTAGAGAAGGCCTGGCATCGCGTTGACAAGAATGCAGACCATGAGCAGCTACACCATCGGCGTTAGGCATCGTTGGTGCGGTCAAGTTGCACCTTGCGCCGCTCCAGACCCGAGAGAATCGCATACGTGAGCACGGGTTTCCCGCCCAACACACCCTTGAGGCCTAGAATGCGCTCACGCTTGTCAGCCTCCAGTCGTCTTACTAGCAAGGGCCGGTTCGATGTGTACCTTGATAGGTGGTGAGGAGGTCGCCGCTGAGCAGCAAGAGGGTCATGACGGCAAAGATGACTTGAATCGCAATGAGCTCATTGGCGTTGGCGACGTCGTGTCCGCAGTTCCAGCCCGGCACGATGGGTAATTTCGAGTGGGCACCTACGCGCGTTGTGCTTGGTACATCGAGCGAGAGAAATCAAGTACCTTGGCTCCAGCCCGTGAGTCCCAACGCCGAAATCTGTCCCGAGAGCTCTTCGATCTCCGTGTGGCACGCGGAGGTAACCAAGTACCTAATGGTTAGGATTACATTCCAGGCTGGGCAACTCGAATAGGAGCATACCGGTTGCCAAGAGGCCGCGACGTAATGATGTAGTCAGAGCCAAGGAGGTCGTTTTCAATGCCACCTGCTTGCGTGATCACTGTTCGCTTGACGTTCTCAATGAGGGGCGCCACAGATCCATCCGTGTTGACGTAGTTTTGGACAAGCTGTCACGGTCTGTGAGTCCATATTGCTGCTGTCGAATCTGAACGCACCTGCATGTCTGGCGTCAGGTCCGAGTAGAGCGTCATGAGGTAGACGCCTTCGGGGTACTTCTCGCGAATCTATCGTGTTTTCATCGACACAAATCCGGAAAATCGATAGAAAATACCGTCGTTTCCAGCATCATCATGCCCGCCACGGGCTGCGCGCCGTTGGTCGGCAAGCACTCGGGGAAGGCAGCGTATCTACTCGCATATCAAATTGGTACCATGACCAATATATACAAAACGCAGCAGTACCCGGCGATGAACTCGAGGTTGGCCCATCCAACGTCTGCGCTACCCCCAATGATGCACGTCGTAATGTACAGCGGGCTTGCTGCAAACATACATGAGCTCTGACATGTGTGACTGAAGCCACATACCTTTTGCGAGCTCGAGCGACCACTGCTGCGCGAGGGCGACGCCGACGGCCGTCCACGCAGCCGGTACGATCACGCTCTCCTCCACGGCCGAGCACCTACAACCTCTCTGCTACCAAGCACTTGACATGCTGTCGTCAGTGTACGTGTTGGGCACAAAGCCGTTGGCGTTGAGCATGCAGCTTTGGCCGTACGGCGCCCAGAAAAACCCTTCGGTTTGCGCATTCGCCGACACAATCGTGCGGGCAAACATGTTCTAGCATGAGAGATCGCTACTTGAAATCACAGAGGTGGGAGGGTACTGTACCTGGGACAGAAGCACGATGAGCGTCGCAACCGAGAGGAAGACGAGGGCGCCGGCGACGAGGTTGGAGAGAATGCGCGTCAGCGCCACGTACGATTTTTGGCTCTCTTGAGCGCCCTTCTCGTTGCGAGAGCCCGTTCCGACGCGCACCGACATGCTGCCACTGCCACCATGCTAGATGCGGCACGATATTGCATCGTTCTTGGACGAAGTACGTACGAAGGACTGGATCCGATAAGCTAGGCCGCGTGCGTTCTGCAGCATTACGTCACTTGTACACTGTTTCACGGCCGTTAAAGGTGTAAGAATAGAAAGGCTGCAAGGATGGGGCACTAGTATGGCGCTCTTGGACGCATTTTCGCCAATCAAGCAAAGTGGCTAAATTTGGCATTGACGATTCAGTGCACCTCGCGTCGATGTGTTGTCGATGATAATACTCACGTTCTTAGTTCACGCTGCGTTGCCTTCACTACAATGCGTCCTCGCTAAACTTGCCGTCCGAGAACGGAGCGCGTTCGGAAGCGGTTGGAAGCGTCTCCGCCGCGTCGGTTCGCGAGGTGGGCCCTCAAAATAGGACGCTCCATAGCATGCCGCACTTGCAGACATGCACTGCTTTGCGTACACGGTAGCAATGACCGCCATGGTCGCCGCACAGCTGGAGACGGACGGTGGCGGGTTCAACAATAGGCTCTGCGGCATCGACATCAACACGCTGCTGCCCTACGGTCCCGACACCCCCACGGCTGCCGTGTGCGCGTTTCGCAACTCGACGACGCGAGATTTGTATACGCACACCCGCGCCGCCGCCCGTGTGCGCAACAGTGGCAATCGTCTCTGCGGTGCGTGGCTCTGGGGCTCGCAAGGACACGTCGTCACGTCGTCGTCGTGCGTTGGTGCGCTTGCAGTTTTCATCTGCAACAAAATGCTCACATAAGGATACTAGGCCGCGGCCAAAGCGCGCTGACCGTCGACTTGAACGCCGAGTCGCAAACGTGCATCGACGACACGACGGTCGCGTGCAACGGCCAGACGCGGCTCCAGCATCCACCGCGTCTGTTGCACGTCAACCGCACGATCGGCTATGCCCTCTTGCAGCTGCACCCTGCCGATGCGCGTATAATCGTGCCATTGTATGGGTACCTCCAAGCGACACTGACGGTTGCTGCCGGCGCGCCCATCTACGTGGCAGGCCAATCCAGCAACAGCTGCAAGCGTCTCCTGACCAAAAACACCCAAGCCGAGTCTCTCGTCGTGACGCAAACCGACTTCAAGTTGGGCCCCGTTCACACAACGCATTTCTTATGCTGCTCTTTGGTGTAGGATGCCGTCGTGCTCGTCGACGAGCTTGCTTGCCTACGGGACGCAACTCGATATCCGGTCGCATGGGTCGCCCGTGCTGCTCCGAGAGACCCACACCGTTGTCGGTGTCAACGTCTGCGACGACAACGCAAACTGTCAAAACGCTGCCGTGCCAATGGCAACGATTGTCGAGGAACTGACGCCAAAGCGTCTCGTGCCGGCCAATGGTATCGCGTCCGGGGTCGTCCCCGTCGTGGCGACCTATCGGGACCCAACCAAGACGTACCAGAAATAACTCGTCCGTCGGTTGGAAATGAATACATTCGTTTTGCTTTTTCGCACCCCCGCAACTAGACAAGCTCGAAATCCAGCCCCAAAGGATACGTTGGTATGCAGCACGACCGCCGCAGCTTCTTATTATGCAAAATCCCTAACCCTATCCACTCTTGACACTGCCAAACGACAATATCATACAGCGTCTTCGTTGGACTGGGAGCCGCTGGACGAGACGGGAAGTGCGCACGTTGCTTCGATGGCTGCTTCGGAGAGCGCGCACGTGCGTGGCAAGCTTGCATTCGGCAACGAACTGAACACGTCAATCGGTTCGCTGCTGGAAATCGTCATCTTGTACGGAAGCGAGGCCGTGGAGCTTGCGAACGCGCCTTCGTGAATATCGGTGGAGAACGCATCTGTGTTGATGCCAGCGATAGCGTCCTTGTCGGCGAGCTGGAGGAGCCCGAACGCCAGAATGTAGCGCCCCGCCGGCAGCGTCATCACCAAGTACGGGTCGTTGCTCGAGATGCTGCCATCGTCGCTGCCCATGGACGGGAGCGCTCGTCTCAAATCGTCGCTCGAATAGATTGCGCCACCTACATATATCCGATGGAGATTGAGGTTCAAAGTCCAATCGCTAGCGCATCTTGACCGGGAAGGAGTTTGGAGTAGACACGCAATGTCGTGCCCCCGGTCGAGTACGTGATGCGGCAGTCGCGCATCACGTCAACGCACGTGTTGGACGTCGTATTGAGCTCGTTCACGACGACATCGATCAGAATCTTGGTCGGCGCGTGAACAACAAGCTCGTAACGATCCACAGTCGTATAGCGCGGTCGCCGGGGCACAACGCCTTGACGGATCGCACCAAAGTACGGTGGGTGGCGAAACGGCAGAGTCGGCGCCCGTGGAAACGCAACGGGATCTGCAAATGCAGAAATCGTGCCAAGGCCGTCACCCAGCGCGTTGGCGGGCAAGAGGTTTTGAAAGAGTAGGTCGCGTACAATGCAGGCCATTGGAATGCCCGCGTTGGAGCACGCGGCGGCGCCACAGTAGTGCATCGCCACGACCGTGTTGGTGGTCGCATCCAGAACGGGGGCGCCGGACGAGCCCGGCTGCGTGTCGGCATCGTACATGACCCCGCCTCGGTAAAACCCGTCGTTGTTGAGGTCACACCTACGATGCATCGTCGCGCCACGTCATCCGAGCGTAATCACCGACCCTTTCGAGGTGAGCCCCGTGATGGTTGTCGGCAACGTCGTCTGGTTCATGGACGCGATTGTCTTGCACCCGCCGTTCGGATGCTGCGGCACGTACACGCGCATGCCGCGCGAAATCGAAAGCGTCGGGTGCACTTGGAGGTACCCGTAGGTCTGCACGAGGCTCAGCCCGGACGAGAGCAACAAGAGTGTGTAGTCGAGGATCAAATTGGTGGTGACCCACGTCGCGGCCACGGACGCGACAGCGCCGCTGCACACGGTGTAGTCGACGTCGACGCCGCACCACGACGCTTCCGCGAGAAACTCGAATTGCACTTGCTTGGCATCGCGGGCACTACCTAACTGCATGCTAGGATATGCAAGGTGCATTTGAAGGTGTACCAATGCAGTGGCTCGCGGTGATGACGTGGCCTTGACTGCCCCAGAGCCAGCCCGTGCACATTTTGAAGCCTTCAACACCAGGTGTCGGCACCCAAATCCGCACGACGGGTCGGCTGTACGCGTACATGCTCGTGAGCGGCGACGCCGTTGTGTAGTTGCAGATTGCGTGGCTGCTGCGGGTGCCACAACCTTGCTCCTCGCTGCTGCTGCCCGCGTTCGAGGTCGTGGCATAATGGCCGCTGTCGAGACTGGTAAAGTAGCTGTAGCGATCGACGCCGACGCCGAAGCCGTTGTCGCAGTACGAGACGCTAGTCGTGCGCAGCAGCCGAAGGCGCCAGAGGTTGGCAAATAACCGCGGCGTCCAGAGCCCCGAGCTATCGCCGACGGGCGAGAGATGTGCCGCTGAGACATTGAAGATTGGTGCATCCACAGCGACAAGCTCAACGCTGTCGCCGGGAGGCAGCACAAGCGTTGCTATCCGAAAACGCATGGCGATCGCCGACTTTTCAAAATACGAGTCGCTGAGCCACCCCGACTCGAGCGGCTCGACGCAGCGGGGGCCAACGCCAGCGCCAATACCTTCCGTCGCCGGAAGAACGACTGTCTTCATGCTGCTCGGCGTCCCCAAGATTTGGGCGCCGCATGCCACCGCGATCACCGTCAGCACCCAGAGCCACATGGAGGCAAATCCAAAAATCCACGAAGCCAAGATCCCGTTACGGCGAAACCGAAGATTGTCGCGTTCGGCCGAGGTGCGCGACTTCGCTGCTTCTTCTGCTCAACATCCAGGACCAGTGTAACGATACCCGTCGATGCAAATATCATCCTGATGACGCGATACCAGTCCGTCCTGTAGTTGCAATAAAAAGATAAATAATGTCTTTGTGGCACCACCCCTTGGCGGTCCCTTCACCAGTGTCGCGTTTTATTCTTTTTTTGCCGAGGGGATGGATATCCTGGCACTGATTGCATCGTTATACGAGGCTGTACGTGCATTTCTCAGTGCATCTCGTACGAAGCATCGAGAATGGCTTCGCATTGACGAATGAGCGCTGCCTCGCCTTCCATGGCGCACTCGGCCATCTTTGGCGCGGCATTCGAGTGCTTAATCGTGAGGGGCACGGTCGCCGAGAGAGTGACGCGGTAGGCGCCGCTGTCGCCAGTCTCTGTGGCGACGCCCGAGCAGCCCAGAAGCTGGGTGTACGGGTAGCCATTACGCCCGCGCCTCGCGTCGGCAAGCCCGAGGTTTGTGGCGCCGATCGCAACCGTGTGCGCACCGGCGGGTAGCACCGCCACGAGATACGAGTCGTACGGCGAGATGCTGCCGTCGGCCTTGCCCGCATTCGGATCCACCGAGTCGACGTCATCGTTGGCATAGGGCGTGTACTGCACTACATCGTATCCACGAGTGTCAAGAATCAAAGACACGATAGAGCGATGCGTACCGGTGGAATCGTTGGAGAAGACGTAGATCATCGTGTCCAGATACGCAATGCGGCAGTCATCGTTCACATCGGCAAACGCCTGCTTGTAGCCATCCCGTTCGAACGAGAGGACGTCGACAACAACAACGCCGGGCGTCGCCAGCTGAAATGTGATGTGGTCGACATTCGTAGCCCATCCGTTTGCGAACGACCCGACTTGGATGATGACGCCGTCGATGACGGCCTGCTTTGTAAAGGGCGACTCCACGCCGGGGAGGTTGGTGCCATACGGGCTCACCGTCGGGTCGCTGAACGGCGGCACGAGAGGGGGCGCCCCGCTCGCGATGCCGTTGGGCGGCAAGAGATTGTGCCGTCCGAGGTCCTGCGTGATCCATAGCATCGGAATACCTGCGTTTCGGCAGGCCGTTGCGCCGCAATAGTGCAACGCCACAACGGTGTTGGTGTCCTTGCTCAGAACCGGCGACCCGGACGACCCGCCGTCCGTGTCCACGTTGTACGCGTAGCCGCCTTTGCGATCGCAGCCAGGCGTCGCGAGGCTCGAGATGGTCGTGAATTGGTCGTCGTCGTTGAGGTACGAGAGGAGTTTGCATCCGCCGCGCGGATGCTGCGGCATGTACACGCGCATGCCCACGGACGCCGGACTCGGAGCGGCTTGGAGATACCCGTACTTGGCCGGAAGGTCGGCCCGAAGCTTCACCAGCGTAAAGTCGAGCGTTGCATTCGTATAGATCAAGGTGGCCGTGATCGCTTCCGTGACACCGGCGCACACGCCATTGCGGTTGCCACTGCAGAGGTAGCTCTCGGCAACAAACTGAAACTGGGCGTTCAATGCGTCTGCCTCCGAGCCTACACAGGTGGGCTCACACTCTACCAGCGATTTGGGAGGCATACCAATGCAGTGGTGGTTCGTGATCAAGTGCCCGGCCGAGCCCCAGAGCCAGCCCGTGCAGCCCTCGGCCGACTGCGATCCAGGGTTGACAATAATACGCGCCACGGGCCGCCCGAACGCGTACATGGACTGGCGCGGCGCCGACGGACTGTACGAGCACGTCACGTGCTCGCTCTGGTCTCGTCCGCACACGTCTTGGCGCTCGGACGTCGCGTTGGCTTCAAAAATGACGTCTTCTTGCGCGGACGGGACAAACGCATCGAGCCGCACCCCATAGTTGCTGCTGCTGGCGTTCATGCACGGCGCGTCCAAGAGAAGGCGGAGCATCGTTTGGTACGTGCGCGGTCCTGCCACGTCGTTGAAGACCGTGTCGGGCGCGAAGAACGTATTGAGGTCGACGTTCGCACTCCCATTCGTTAGCAAAAGCGATGCGTTGGGTGGTAGCTTGAGGTACGCAAAGATGGGCATGATGGCCACAGTGACAAGGCCCCGCGTGTACGTCGACGCGAACCACGCGCCTTGCCAGCTCACGCGCGTGCCGGCTTCATCGCATTGAAACAACTGTGTCTGCTCGTGAAGAGAGCCCGCGCCAAAGGTGGAGCCGGTGATCGAGACGACGTTGGGCCATCGGGTAGCTTCGGCGAGAGCCGCGACGGCAGCCAGACTGCATCGGAAATGGAAGAGGAAACGCATGCCGCGTCGATCCGTGCGAATTCAGCAGTGAGGCGTTGATGCTATGGCAACGGTGTCGCAAAGAAGATGCGCATCGTCGGCGTTGGCAGTGCAACGTCAAACTCGATCCAAACTATTCTCCTCCGCGACATAACGCTAACAGTCAACGCATCGCCGCAAGAGTCAACGCAGCGACACAAGAGTCAACGCAAGAGTCAAGACAGCGACACTCCCACAATGTCGAATTCTCTTGTGGTACCAACAGTAGCGTTGGCGAGATGAGGTCGCTACGTCTACGGCGACCTCAATCGGCGTGGAGAATGCGCGAGTCGAACGCCGGCGCGTCGGTCGGTTTTTGGATCACGGCTGCCCACTGCATCATCTTCTTCATTCCATCGATCGTCATCATTTCAACGAGCTCCGGGTGCGACTGCCTATATATATATGCAGTTGAGCGCTCTCGCACCAGATCTGGCACGTCGTACCACATGTGGCACCACTCGTCCAACGAGATAAAACCGGGCTTCTCACGCTCGGCCTCGAGAAAGATTTGGTCCACGGCCAGCGGAATGTCCTTCTCAATTTCTTCAATGAGGTCGGCGAGCGCCTCGGATCCGAGTCTCATGGCTTTATCTCGCACCGCCGTGTCATTGGCACTCGTCGTTACTGCTGGCTGCAGCGCGCACTGCAACTCGATTTGCTCTTGGAGCAGCATGGGAAAAATGCCTTTGACCACCTTCGCAGAAACCACAGTCAAGCATGTCCATCGTCTTGTCTGCGTACTTGGAGGCGGCGGCGCATCGCGCGCGTGAGCTCGTCGTGCGAAATGAGACCGTCGCCGGTCGTGTCGATGACGTGAAAGAGAAAATTGGACTTCTCTTCGAGGGACCCGTGCAGCGTCAAGTAGAGCCCAATCTAGATACACGCAACTCAGAGACGCCAAGCGGAGGCGCACATACGGCAAACTCATCAAACGTGATCCAGTCGCGCGTGCGACGCGGGTCGTCGCTGCCGTGAAACATGAACGTCGAAAAGAGCGCCGAGGCCAGCGCTACATCCATGCATCTCAATTCTCAACGCTCTCGACAGCCCACGAAGCAGATTACCCGAATTCTTGTTTTGGCAGATGCGACCAAAGTCATCGCGAGCTGGCGACGCCTGCACCCACGACGACGCTTGCAGACCTTGGCACGCCAGAATGAACGCATCCAAATGCAGCTCCTTGCCGTGTGCGGTTGCGTGCGCCTTGTACACGCTGTCCAAGTTGGCCAAGTCGGTGGTGGTCATCTTGCCTTCAAGAAACCCCGGCGACGCGACCGAGGGCGGCGCCAAGCGCTGCGCGTTCTGGAGCTTTTGCGTGCGCCCAATGAACGCGTTGAGCTGTGTGCGCGCCACGTCATCGAAAAAGAGGCGCAGCGCTTGCGAGTGCAGAATGCTCGCGACTTCAAAGGTCACGCGGAAGTTGACTTCGCACGACGTCGGCGAGACCTCGCGGAAGCTCCACTCGCTAGCACCCGCGCCATGAGCCATGAGCCATGAGCCATGGTCGATATGCTAAAGACTACCTCTCGATGGACTTGAACGTGGGCGACTCGATGGACGTGATGAGGATCTTGTGCGGCGCGTGCATGAGCACGCGGGATCGATACGTCTCGGTGAAGATCTGAAAGCCGACCGTGAGATCGGCCTCCATAACGTTGTCGTTTGGGCGGCGCACGACGCGCGACGAGACACAGAACGGCAGGAACGACGCGTACGCGTCGACGTTGGCGACGACGTCGTACATCTCGCGGCACGAAAAAGGCACAACGCGCTTCTCCGTATGCGACTTGAGCAGCGCAGAGGCCGGCGAAAAGAGCATATTGGGCAGCGAGAGGAAGGACCGGCGGCTGGGCATGGCGGGAAGGCGGCGCGGCCCGGCCAAGTACGGGCGCAGCAGCATCAGTTGTATCAGGCGCAGCCGGTGCTACTACGTCGTGTGCCAACGGGACTTCACACTAAAATGGCGTCTAAAAATACCTCGCACAGTATTTACCGGCGCAAGCGATGTGGTACACCATTTCATGTACAACATTATTTATCTGATGAGGTAACACTAAATATAAAGACAGCGCTGGAAATGGTGTATGAAGAAGAGGCTTTGCACGCTGCCTTTGCACGCATCGAGCCAGGACTGCTCGGTGTACTATTAGTAAAGCGCCAGACGGCTGTGTGAACCGAGATTTCGTCAAAGATGTATATGAGAAGGATGCTTGTCGCACTTGCGTACGCAGGATTGCTGCAAGCGCACTCGCTGCGCCCGCCGGTATGTACCCGCGAATGAGTCGAGGATACGGAGATGTGATCCACGCCTGTGTGTAGCCATGTGCCGCCGATGTCAAGCTCTGCAATGATGGCATGTGGATGTATCGTGACATCAAGAACAATTGCACGTTTGCAGCGTGTGCTGACGAGCCCGGTGGCCAAGTGCCGCTTGAGCACAAGCCATCGCAAGCACCGGTGACGTAGAGGCTAGGGCTAAGACCGCCCCAGCTCTCGCAATACCTAGTTGAATCGATGTCAAATTGGAAGAATAATGAATCCGAATCAGTCGTTGCGAGGCCGGTACCCAAACTACTTGCAGCTGCACGCGACAGTTTACCCTTCTGCATGCGCGCACTGGTTGGTGTAATCGAGGGATATACGAGCAACCAGCCACACATGCTTGAATGTCGCCACGATCTTGCGAATCTTGCGAGCGCCACCCACGGTCGCCACTGAGCGGTCCCACTGACGTAGGTCCTGACGTGTCTCCTCGAGCTCCTCGGACGCACATACTCACATGCGATCGCCTGAAATGCCGTCATGACAGGCGCACAAGTGCAAAGTCGATCTCAGGAGCATTTTCGGGCGCGCGGGGAGAAACGAAGCCGCAGCTACTACGACGCGGCAAGCGTCTCGTGCGTTTTTTTGGCCTCGACAAAGATCGGCAACGGACCAGCGTTGGGTGACCGTAAGCTCCAGCTGGCGTGTCCGTGGACCCAAGTTGGGGTCATTTCATATAATTATCCATGTTTTTGTATCGCAACGTGTCCATTTAAATAGCTTCAACCTTGTGGCGCCCCTAGGCCGTACCTTCCACGACCTGTAACGCTCTGCCGTTTTTTTCGAATGAAACGGCGTTTGATCGGTCCACGCGTGGGTGCCATCTGGCTGTATAAAACAGTGCACATTTGATGTTTGTATGGCATGGACATCCAGCGTGTTTCAAACGTCCAGATGGCAGGTCGAAACCGACGCGTTGGTTTCAATCTGACGTTTCGTCGTGCTCCGTGGAGCTCTTTGTGACGGCCGCTCATTGGTGCAAATCGGGTGCGTTTCCAGTTGTGATTGGCGCGAGCCACTTTTTCATCACAGTTTGCGAGCAACGAGTTCATTCTTGAATTTGCACCATGAGCCAGCAGTCCCCCATTGATATTATCCCGACGATCGCCAAGGAGGTCGACAACCACGTCGACTTTACCGTGGGCTGCGACTGCGGCGAGATCGAGCACGGTGGCTCCAACTTCAAGGTCCACTGGAAGGGCGGCAACAACTCGGCCTTGGTCCTCAAGGATGTGACGTACTACCCGATTCAGTTTCACTTCCACACGCCGAGTACGTCAATCCATATTGCACGACGAGCAGGTCGGCTAACGAGTTGTTATGTCTTAGGCGAACACACCATCGAAGGCAAGGCCTACCCGTTCTGCATGCACCTCGTGCACCAGTCGGAGGACGGCAAGCTCGCAGTGGTTGCCTTCTTCTTTGAGGAAGGCGACGAGAGCAAGTTCTTGGCCCAGGTCTGGGAGCATCTCTCGGAGATCGAGCCCCACGGCCCGCGCGTCCTTGTCGACGATATCTCGTTCGACTCGCTCGACGTCAACGCCGAGAGTTATTTCCGCTACACGGGGTCGCTCACGACTCCGCCGTACACGGAAGGCGTCGAGTGGGTCATTGTCAAGGACCCGCGCCAGGTCTCGCCCGAGCAAATTGCCGAGTTTATCAAGGTCATTCCCGGCGACACGAACGCGCGCGATCTTCAGCCCGTCGTTAGCGGCAAGCTGCTCTTCTGCTGCGAAAACTAAGCAAGCTTCAATATTATTTTCCGTGTCTCGTCGCTTCGCACAGGTCGACGCGTGCAAAGCAAAGCGAGAGTGTTAGTCGGTTCGAGGGACGGCAACGACAAGCCAATTACAGCTTCAGTGATTTGCGACGAGAAAAAGGTGGGATGGGTTGTGTAATCTTTGTGATAGCACTTCCTCGCAAGAGGAAGAAGAAGGGTCCTCGTCATCCTCTTTGTGGTTTTTCAGCAACACGGCGATCACGTCATAGTGCCAGACAACGTGGTCTCGTGTCTATGACACATCGCCGACGACTTGGCGTAACTTGGGTACGATTGCCTTCACTCAGCCTTCACTCGTCCTTCCCTTGGGTGCCCCTTCAAGGTTGCTGCTGCGAGTATCTTGACCGATCTCGCTCCCAGCACCCCAGCTTGAAACACATGGGAACCGTTTGTCAAACCAAATTTCGAAAACTCGAAACGCGCCAACTAGCCAAGTACTGTAGCCATGCCGACAAGCCAGCTCTGCGTCCATCGCAGGCACAAGGCCAAGTGTTCGTGCGTGTCTGGTGCAGCGCCAAAGGCAAGCGACAAATGAAGTAATCTCGTATCAGAAACCCCCGTCACATTGGCGTTTCTACCCACCACAGCGTTGAGCGAATGGCTTTAAGTCGTCAACATATTGCCGCCGCGTAGTTCCTGCAAGCGCGACGCAGCAACAGTCTATGCACACTCTAATATTACACGCGCGGAGGTTCTAGTTGCAGACTTCGAGGTGCGCAAAGAGGCGGTGCGTCATCTCGACGCCCAAGAAGAGGCTACCGTCGGCCGGAAACGAGCCCATGACCGCCGAGCTCCACCCACGGTAGAATCCCGTGAGCCCTTGAAGACGCCATACGCTGCGGACAGCAGCCCGAAAGCTCAAGGCCGCGTCCACCTGCATGCGCGACTTGATGACATCGGCGGGGAACACAACGGTCCAGCTCGTGGCGCCGGCGAGGCCGCCTGCTGTGAGCACGGCGGCCGGGTGCAGCTCGCGGCGCGACTCGACGCCCAAAGCATCCATAAACTGGTTGGTGTAGTAGTCGTACATGCCAAAGAAGCAAAAGTTGAATGGCACGTCGCGAAGCATGACGGCAGGCAGGCCGGCGGTGAGGCCGAGGAAGCCACCCTCATGCACGATCGTCTTGAGGCAGCGCCAAATGCCCATGGACTCGGCGTGCTGGTACGTCTGGAGGCGGCACTTGACGACTTCGGCCGGCGTAATCGCCGCGGCCGAGAAGAAACCAGACGCGCTTCCAACGAGCGCCTCATCGAGCGTCGAGAGCGACGTCGATGGCTCAAACACCAGACGGCGGATCGCGCCGTTGGCCGAAAAGAGCACCGCGTTTTCCAAAATCGTGCTGGAGAGCGCGGGTAGCGCACCCTTCCAGAGCGACCGGACGCTCTCGGTGCGTACGGTCTTGGCGAGGCAGTCGGCAAAACCTCGGTAGATGGGCTGACGCGACTGCGTCTGGAGGCGCACCTTGATGACGTCAAAGGGCAAGCCGATGTAGACGTTGAAGACAGCGCCGACGACGCCGCTCGTCGTCTCTCGCAGGTCCAGTGTCATGCGAGCAAAAGCGCGTCTCACCAATCAAACGGATTGAGATCTTGCACGCCGCGACCATCTGGTTGTCAGTATACTCAACTCAAGACAAACCAAAGGCGCGCCAACCCAGGCAGCGATGTTGGCTACCGAAACGCCTCCTTAGGTATGCTTTACGACGTCTTTTTTCCCTCACAACCATAGCCACAGTGCGCCGACTATACGTGCAATCAGCAATCTGCTCTCTTGTACTAGCATCATTTTGTAGCATTTGTACGCTCGACACGAGCTTCGTGAGCCTTGCTGCTTTGTCTCGGGTGGAACTCCAAGAGGAAGTATGGTTCTGCACTCGGAACGCTCGTGTGGGTGAAATTGTGCGCTTCCAATACCTCTTGTATATCGATCGATCGGTCGTTAGAAACTAGAGGGTGTAACACAGGGGTCGATTTGAGGCAAGCGCTGGCGTTGCAGAGCGTCCTAGCCCTTGTAGCGCGACTTGACACGCGAGACGTTGGGTGCGTCTAGACATGGTTTCAGCGAGGATTCAAGTATTTAATAGTGTAGTCATTACTAATAGTGTAATATGATAGTCGCAGAGTATGATTCAGTGGTTCGATGCCACGATAGACACGACCAAACAAAGACGGTCATAGACTGCTGGTGCTACGTGCCTTCATGGCTGCCCCCTCAACGCCACTCTTACGTTTCTCCTGCACCGCATTTCACAGGCTCTTGGGATGTACCAACATTCTGGCCCAAGTGCAATGCGGGTAATAGTGTCACGGTTGTTGCGCCTGTTTCAGAAAGGGCAACGGCAATGACCAGCGCGCTTGTACCTGGTGACCGCTCACTCGTCCGGCTGCTGCTCTACACTGTGGTCAACGCTCTCTGGAGCACGGTCGCGCTTCCTATCCTCACGCTAGCGGCGCTCTGGGCATGTCTCGAGTCTTGTGGCATGCGCCGCCAGTCATGGGCCACGCGGAGACTGTACCCTCTCCGCGCCGTGACCCAGACCCTCTGGCGCATTGAAATATACGTCCACGCGCTCTACGATACAAAGGCAGACCTGCGACTCGTCTCGCTTGACGACGTTGCGCCGAGCCACGCGGGCTGGACCTTGGCGTACGTCCTCTTCTGGCGCTCGCTCCAAGTGGGCTACTACGACTCTGTCGCGGCATCCATCATGACCGAGTATACTGCAATGAGCACATCGCCATCCACATCTGCGCCTTCGTGGATAGACCGTCTCCCGCTTCCGCCAACGCCAGCGCCCCAAGCCACGCCCCTCACGATGTGGGCCTTTGCCGGCGTCTGCATCTTTTTCTGGGTCGTCAACTGGATCGCCGTCACCGTCTTCGTGTGGGTCACCAAGCAGAGCTACTATGCGATCTTTGGCCAACTCGTGATTGCGCGCGTCGATGGTAGTCAGCATCCGCTCCTCCCGACGACAACATCATCCGTACCTGCGTCGTCGTACACAGTGCCCCGCGCGAGAGGTGCACCTGCTCCGTACTTGCTGCCGTTCACGCGCGCGCCGCCACTGGGCCCGCCACCCGCGTACGAACCGACGCTGGTCGCGAAGTCATCGTCCAGCGCGAGTGAGCCGGGGGGCTACCACTATACGCTGGCCGAGCGCAACGGCACACTCGGATTCCCCGTGCCGCCGCCGCCCATGTCGGCCTCGTCGCCTCCAAACAAGTCGTTGTGGACGCACCTCTTTACGAAATCTTCGGCGGTCGATGCACCCATGAACGTGTCGCACGCCGAAGACTTGGTCAGTGTCGACGCGGCGTCGCTGGAAGACGCGCCACGCATCAGAATTGTGCCACCGGCCGTGGATAGCCGCGAGCTTAAACTCAATCGCGTGGACGATCGACCGCCTCCAGATCTCACCACCCTTCCGAACACGGAGCTGCCAGATCTGGCCGACGACGCAAGCCCTTCAGAGACCGAGGCAGCCGCTGAAGAGGCCGAAGAGGAGCCCATGCAAGGCCGCATCATCTTTTCGCAAGTCATTGCGCCGTGCACCAATCGCATCTCGATCCGTGTCGACAAACGACTGGACGTTGCGACCCCGGGGGCTGCTTTGCGCCTCGGGCTGCCGCTTCCACAAGGTGAAGTGCACTGCGCCTACGTCATTCTTGCCGTCGGCGAGCATTCAATCGACGTGCTTGTTCTGATACAAGCGCGTCGTCGCTTTGGCTCTGCAAGGCGACCATCGGTACTCTGGTGCGCATTTATGGCGTTGACACAACGCTGCAGTTGCCGCTTCCGACCACCGATCATCCCGCGACGGTCAGCGATCGCAGCGACGTCGAAGAAGACGAAGAAGAGGAGGACGTTGTCGCGTCACCTACAGACGTGGTCGTTGTGCCCCAGCCGCCGCAGCAGGCAGGCTGGGTCTCCCCGACGACTTACGCCCCGGCCCACGCGTATGGCGCAATGACACCGCTCGGTGTGGCCTCGGCGTCATTCACGGCTGACTTTACAAACGATGGTCCTGAGTACGGTGCCTTGTCGCCCACCGCAGCGATGACGAGTACAGAGGTCTTTGCGCTGCCGCAAGTGACGCGCGCGCTGCCGATGCACCCATTGTCCATGCAAGACCGCGTGCATTTTACTGCGTACGCGCCATCAACGGTCGCGTGCGCCACGACCTTTACCTTTTCGATTTGGGCGTTTCTGGTGCATCAGCGAAGCGAGATGCACGAAGAGGCGACGGCAGAAGGCGACGCGGTACAGCTCTCGCGCGACGTCTTGCTGCGCGTGCGGCGCGGTGCCTTGGTGCATGTCACGCTGACACCTCCCGACGGTTTCGCGCTCTGTGACGAGCCAACGCAAGTGCTCGCGTGGCACGGTGACGTGACGCGCGTCGCGTTTCGGGTCGAGTGCGGTGCGTTCGTAGACGTCGGCCAAGCCATGTTTACTGCGTCCATTGTTGTGGGTGCCGAGGTGCTGCGTCTTCGGTCCTATCTCTTTGTATCTGCGTCGGCGCTGACATTGGATGACACGGCGACAGAAGTCACGTGCGACCTCGAGCGACTGCCGCAGACCTACGAAGAGATCCCGTTTGGCGACCTCGAGATGAAGAACCTTGTCGGTCGAGGCAACTTTGGCGACGCGTACCGCGCTCGGTACCGCGGCCAGGACGTACGTTATCCGACCTTGAGATCTCACTCAATGCCGTCGTCGTGTCTAGGTCGTGGTCAAGACGCTCCGGCCGAGCGAGTTTGGCGACAACCAAGACCAGATCGTGCAAGAGTTTCGACACGAAGCCGCGGTGCTCTCGCTGTTTGGGCACCACCCCAACATTGTGCCGTTTGTGGGTGCGTGCACGGACCTCTCGCAGCCGCTGAGTCTTGTGACCGAGTACTTGCCGTTCGGGAGCCTCGAAGACCAGAGCCGTGAGCACGCGCTCTCGCCTGAGCAAAAAACGCGGCTTCTCTACGATGCTGCCAATGGTTTTCTCAACATCCACGAAGGCGGCTTCATCCACCGCGACATTGCCGCTCGGTGCCTTCCTTCCCTAGCCCTACCCTACCCGCGCTCATGATGTTGGGTAGGAATTGCTTGGTGGACGATGGACTGCGCGCCAAGATATGCGACTTTGGCTTGTGCCGGCGCGTGCGTTCGTTCGGCGGGTCGCACTTCCCCGAAGGCATGGTTCCGCTGAAGTACATGGCGCCCGAGTCGCTCACCCCACCCCATGCGTTCTCATATCAGTCGGACGCGTACTCGTTTGGCGTCTTGGTCTGGGAAACGTACATGGAGACACCGCCGTACGCCAACGTGCCGAGCCACTTGGCCGCGGCACGGATACTGGAAGGCGCGCGGCTGGACGTCGACGCGGCTTCAATTCCGGCGGTCCACCACGCCCTTCTCGCCGCGTGCTTTCAGGAGGACCCGTCCAAGCGCCCGAGCATGACCGACATAGTCCGTCACTTTGCATCGACGCCGCCGATCAACTAACACGACACATATTGTCTTCTTTTCGGATGTGGATTGTGTGCAGGCCGCAGCGAAGTCTTTCATTGGTGTTGCAAAACAGGATGTATCCGAATTTAGGCACCTAAAAGGGACAATGCCTACCCAATCCTTGTTCAAGATATCGTGCGATCCATTTCCATTTCAGACCCCGATGGACGATCCGAGCGAGACGACTGTGGCAGCCACTGCGCCGACGACGACGCCGCCCCAGCCGCGCCGCAAGAAGACGCCCAAGAAGCAAGCGCCGACGGTCGAGGCTATCGGCGACGACGCAGCCGCCAGACCATCACTCACGACGCGCCTGGTGGGCGGGGCGCCTGGGACCGCACAAGACGTCAAGCCTCGCCAGAAGCAGACGAAGAAGAAGCCCATGGCATCAACGGACATGCTGCCGCCACCTGCGCCAAGCGTGGCGCGACCAGCGCTCTCTGACGCGTCCGCTGCCGACGGCGCCGCGGCGCCCGCCAAGAAGCGCCGCCCGCGCAAGAACAAGCCCAAGGCTGCATCGTCCGCGACCGCCGACGCGACAGTGGACGCAATCTCGAGCGAGACCACTCCTAACGGCAGTGGAATCGTCGCGTCACCCAAGGCCAGCGCCACGCCAATGTCGCCGAAGGTCAAGGAAGACACACCAACGACCGCGGAGGTCAAGGGCTCCAAGAAGAAGAAGATCAAGAAGAAGGCCAAGAGTCGAGCTACGTCGACGCTTGAAGAGGCTTCTTCTGTGGTCGACGGTGTGTCTGTGCCACTTGGCGCAGCGTCCCAAGCGAAGAAGCCCAAGGACGATGGCCAGCCAAAGCATGCTGTCGGAACTCCAGATGACGCCACGATAGCAGCCGAGGACAAGCCGACACCGAGCGCCAAGAAGAAGAACAACAAGAACAAAAGCAGAAGAACGCGGTATCCACGCCGGACGACGCGCCGTCGCTCAGTGACAAGCCCACGTCGTCGTCGTCATCGCGATCCAAGAAGCCGAGAAAGGCGGGCGACTCACTGTACGCGGCTCATGTCTCGGAGAAGGATGCACACGTCGGCCTTGCGAAAGGCACGTACCTCCAAGGCATTCTTCGTGTCAGCAAAGGCAACCGGTACGACAGCTACGTGACGGTCGATGGTCTGGACACGGACATCAACATCCACGGGGTCGTGGACCAGAACCGCGCGGTTGACGGCGACCTCGTCCTCGTTGAGTTGCACCCGCAGTCGCAGTGGAAGACCACGACGTCGCCCAAAGCATCCACAGTTGTCGTGCCAACGTCGACAGCGGTGGTTCCGACCGGTCTCTGGAACCCGCTTGTGACGGCCACGGCGCCAGTGCCGAAACCCGCTAGCAGTAAGGGCACCTCGGCGCTGCAGGCGACACTCTCGGCCCTCCAAGCTCGCCTCAAAAACGCCAGCCTCCAGCCCACGGGCAAGGTCGTGCGCATTGCCAAGCGCGGGGACCACGTGTACATTGGCGTTGTGCGTGCGACGGCAACTGCTGCGCTCTTTGATGCGAGAGACGAACGCCTGCCCCGGGGCATCCGCATTCCAAACGCCAGCATGCCCAACGAGTACAAGGACGATCCGGAAGACTTTGCAGCCTCCAAGTTGTGCATCATTAAGCTCGGCACATGGGCGACAAGCCACCGGTCGCCACAGGTAACGACACTGCAAGAGGCTCACGGTAGATGATGTACATGTTGTTAGGGTATTTTTGTGCAAACGACGGGCTCGATTGGCACGAGTGCTCCCGAGATCGAAGCGCTTCTGATTGCCACTGGCGTCGAAGACCATTTGCTGCCGTTTGCACCGGCGATTGAAGCGTCGCTGCCGTCCGAAAACTGGGTCGTCCCAGACGACGAAGTCGCTCGGCGCCGAGACCTCCGCGACTGGACGATCTTCTCCATTGACCCGTGGAATGCCCGGGATCTCGACGATGCCCTCTCGATCAAGCGCCTCGACGATGGCACATTTGAGATTGGCGTGCACATTGCCGATGTCGCGCACTTTGTTGAGGCTGGATCGCCCGTCGACGCCGAGGCCAAGCGCCGCTGCACCAGTGTGTACTTGGTGAACCAGGTGCTACCGATGCTGCCGCGTCGGCTCTGCGAGTCGCTCTGCTCGCTTCAGCCGTACACGGACCGCCTTGCCTTCTCGGTGCGTGCGCCGTCGCTTTGACACTCTCTAAAACGACTGCGTAGGTGGTGTGGCGTATGCATCCGGACGGGACATTTGTCGTCGACGCGCCGATCTGGTATGGCAAGACGCTGATTCGATCCGTGTGCCAGCTCGATTACGGCACGGCGCAGCTCTTGCTCGAGACGCCACTGCAAGATGGCGACATGACCTACTCGGAGGAGACGTGGCCGATCGCGCGGCGTCCGCACGACGCGTCCTTAAACCGGGCCGTGCACGAAAACGTCCAGCAGCTCTGGTCGCTGGCCCGCACGCGCCGTCAAGTGCGGTTTGAAACCGGCTCGGTGAGTCTCCAGAACACTAAGCTGAGCTTTGTGCTGGAAGGAGACAAACCGAGAAGCGTCGCGTCGTACCCGATCCGCGACTCGAACCGGCTCATTGAGGAATTCATGCTCGTCGCCAACTTCCTCGTCGCCCAGAAGCTGCTTCTGGCACCGCACAACGTCGCCGTCTTGCGTCACCACCCGCCGCCCGACCCGGACCAGTGGCCCAAGGCGTGGGCCGACCTCGCGGCGATCGGTATTACAAAAGATCCGAGTATCGAGCTCAGCACGTGGCTGGACACCCTCTTGGTGACGCGGGGCGAGCGCGTCTTCTCGGCCGTCATGCACGTCCTCACCAAGCCGATGCAGCCGGCTGCCTACAACGTTGCCGACCACTTGACGCACGACGACCGCCATTATGCGCTCAACATTCCATACTACACGCACTTTACGTCGCCGATTCGCCGGTACGATATGCTAGCATGGTTTGTGAAGAAGAAATGATGGACGATGTAGGTACGCCGATGTGCTCGTGCACCGTCTGCTGCTTGCAAGCCTATCGGACGAGCGCGTGGGCGTCAACCCCGACGACGTCAATCGCTGCAACCTCCAAAAGACCAACGCCAAGTATGCGCAACTCGGCTGCGACAAGCTCTTTCTGGCCATGTACCTGGTCGAGAACCCGACGGAAACGAGTGGCACGGTCGTCGGCATTGGCACCAAGAGCTTCACAGTGCTCATCCCCGAATTTGGCTTTGAGAAGCGTCTCTTCTTGGACGACATTGGTGCAACGGGCGAGCTCGACAAGCTGAGCAACCACCTCAAAATCTCGCTCTTTGGCGCCACGCTCGACCTCGGCTATTTCTCCGAAGTGCGCTTGAAGCTCTCGGCGACTCAAGTCCCTCTTGCGATCGTCGTCGACCTCGTCGTGGTCTAGGCCGCTACCGGTACCTCTACTGATCTCTACTTGACGTTTCAATAACATGTGTACACTGACGTGTTGAAGACTTGCCTTCCAATTGCTCACATGGGTGCGTTGTGAAAAAGTGAGCTAGAGAGCCGGGCCTGGCGAGGTCAATGCAGTCGAGCGGGGACTACTTCAGAACACGGAGTGCTGTCCACGGGCCATGGTGCACGTGTACACACCAGGCAGCTCGGAATGTAACCACAGGTAGAAAGATGCTACGCGAAGGTCTCCTCCACGTGTTGGTGGCGTTCGTATTGGACCGTGCAGGCACAGCTTGCAGGCACCCTGACGCATGTTGTCTGGTCACGTTGTGATTGGTGATGGCGTCTGGGTTGATGCGGTGCGTCTCAGATACCAAACTCAGATTGGCCGAGCACATGGATTCATCATGTCTGAGTACGCATCTGATTTTGGATACTCATAACGTATCGTGATGGAATCCGCATTCTTGCATTCGCCGTCCGCGCCACACACCGTATGCAGCTGCTTCTCCATACGTGTCTTCTTGCGCTGCTCAGCGTTGTCGCTGCCACGACCGTCGGGTCGGCCGGGACCCTCTCGCCGCTCTCGCTCGCCTTTGATGGCAGCGCGCCGTTCCGCCACGTCATCGAGAAGCCAAAGGCTTCGTACGTGGCAGTGCATTTTGCGAGTCTTGACATTCCCATCAACGGCACCCTTCGCCTCGAGGACAAGACCGGAAAGGACGTCGTGACGTTTGCAGGTGGCGACCGCCGCGGCAGCTTCTTCGCCGAGTGGCTCGCGGGCGATGTCGTCACCCTCACGTACGACGCACCGCACTATGCAGCGCAGTCGACGCCAGTCTTTGTCATCGACAAGGTGGCGTTCGGGCACCGCGCCGTGGCGTCCGAAGACATTTGCGGCGAGGACTTTACGCGGCCCGCGTCCTGCTTCCGCAACACGAGCATGCACGCACCCAGCCGCGCCGTCGCCCGGCTCCTCATTCAAGGCATCTCCGAGTGCACGGGGTGGCTCATTGGGTCCGAGGGCCATTTGATCACGAACGAACACTGCATCGGCTTTGACGAAGACGGTAGCGAAGTCCAAGTCGACTTGGGTGCTGAATGCGACTGCGACGACGCGAGCCAGCACACCGTCTACGGCGCGTGCAAGGGCACGATCGTAGCGACCAATGCCACGTTTCTGATGTCCGACACGGCCAACGATTTCGCGCTCTTCAAGCTCAACGTCAAGGACGGCGTGGATTTGAGCCAGTGGGGCTACCTCCAGGTGCGCGCGTCCGGGCCGGTGCTCGGCGAGCAAGTGTACGTGTCGGGTCACCCCAACTTTTGGAGCAAGCGCGTGTCGGCGTTTGTCGCGACGAATGTGCCGGGCGTCGTCACCAATTTGAGCCACGACATGGACAACGGGCCTACGCCGTTGGAGTCGTGTCAGAAGGACGAGTTCACGTACAACCTCGGGACGCTGCGAGGCAACTCGGGCTCGCCCGTCCTCTCGGCCAAGGACCATGTGGTCGTCGGCTTGCACAACTGTGGGTCCTGCGGGGAGTATGGCAACGGCGGCATCAAGTTCAACAAGATCGTGGCGCAGCTCGAAAGCAAGGGTCTTTTGCCACCCAATGCGATTGCCAAGAGTCGATGCTAGAGTCGTGTAGTTGCTGTACTAATAGTATGTTTGAAATACGCACTCGTTTTGGAGATTGTGCGCTTGCTGTGCCCTGTGGTCTCTAGTTACAAGTACGTTGTTGCTATGTTGGAGTATATTGTCGACATGGTTGAACCCACTACTTGCTCAATGTCATCCGATCGACCAAGTGGCGCGACGTAGTGATGAGGCTTGAATCCATGACCATGTCAAAGCTGGACCGGCGCTTGCGCATCTCGGTTTGACGCCACGCCGCCACGGTTCTGTCGAGACGCTGGAGCGTGCTCGTGTTCTGGAGGCGGCTGTACCCATGGACGTCACGGTGCCGCGAGTCGATGTCGCCGCACCAGAGCTTGACAGTCTCGACGTCTTTGCGCAGCTGGACACTGCCCGCTTCCGAGACTTTGGTGATACTCGCGAGCTCTCTAGATCGCTACCGTTGGTATTTATACAATGCAAGGCGCATCGTACTCGATCCAGGCTTCAAACGTATGACGAGACACGAGATGCAAGAGGTAGCTGCGCGATGCCACGTTGGGCTCGGACAAAAGAAACGTGCTTAGCGGCTGCAAGACGACGTGCAGAAGCTCCTGTGCATACGGACTCGTCTACGCAGACGCTTGCAGTGCGCAAGATGATCATGCCGTACCCGAAGCGCCATGCGATCGGCGGCCGTGGGTATCGACGGAATTCCTTGCCGATCACAAATGTGCTTGGCCGCCTACCCTCTTGCTAGATACAGACTCTATCTCTTGGATGCATACCCGCGTGATGAGAGCAGTCCACTCTTCGGTCCAGAGCGCCAAGTGCAGCTTGAGTTGCGCCTGGAGCTCTTCGATCGGCGTGACGAGTGTGCCCGTAAAGGCCGGCGCATACGAAATCGACTCGAGGTACGCGGATAGGACGCTTAGTACCGCGTCGATGCTCTGTGTCGTATGCAGGAGGACGCGCTGGAAGCTGCCGACGCTCAATAGCATGTCCGTCGACACGGTTGGCGCCTTGGCAAACGTCGCAAGGTCCTGGGCCAGAACGATCTGGAGAAAAAGCCGTATTGATGGCAAGAGAATCATCGCACTGCTGCTGGGACTCTGAGCTTCATCAGCCCGTCCGCACGTGATGAGCTCCTGGAGCGACGCTCCGAGACGCTCGGTGGCCGCCGCGTCCTGCAGCAGTTGGATCGGTGGAGCAGCAAACGCCTTGCGAAACGCGGCGTGTAGGTGGAGGCAGCGCACATAGGTGGGCACGGGAAGCGATGCAAATGTCGGCATGGATGGCAGCAGTGGCGGGTCCGTCCCGTTCGAGCTCGGGCTTGACGGTGCCGCCATCCTTGTCGGTTTCGGTCGCGTCTTCTGAGACGTTGTGTGATGGTTTTGATTGCTCGTGGCGCCAAGCGCATTTTGAGGGCGGTCTATAGCTGACTGATGTAGCGTGGTATGTTGTTCCTCGCAATCCATGATGAACTCATGGTTAGTTAGTCGAAACGAGCCACTACATAATTTGATGGCTCCAAATTGCACTTCCAAATGCGCATGATTCGATTGGCCAAAATGGCAACGCAAGTGGTTGGTGAAACAAATCCGATTTTTAGCCAATCCCAAGCCGCCCTGCGACGACCAATAGATTCATCACTTCAAGTTCCACCAACGCGGTAGGTCTGGCGCGGGCCGCGGCCGACGGTCTAAGCAGTCTCTGCGTAGGTAGACGCCGAACAATGGAAGTTCTTACGAAGGTCGAGAAGGACATCAAGCTCCTTCAAGAGAAGATTGGCGAATTCCGCGAGACGCTCTCGGTAGGCCAAAGAGGCGCCTGCCAGACCTCTCATCACGGCTGCGTAGGACAAGCTGCCGACGGACTCGGGCATGGGCCTCCTCCAGATCAAGAACCATGCGCTCATGCAGTACTCGCAGCTCTCGATGTTCTTCGCACTCCTCAAGGTAGCCCATGGCGCACGATGGTGCATGCCTCATAGCGTCCTCTACAGCTCGAGTCGCCCGACGCCGTCAAGGACCACCCTGTCTTCAAGGAGCTTGTGCGCTACCGCACGATTCTCGAGCGCATGCGGTACGTCTCTCTCGTTCGTTTGAACTGCCTGTTCATTGCGTCTACCTAGCCCGCTGGACCGGAAGCTCAAGTACCAAGTCGACAAGCTGCTCAAGATCGCCGTCTCGGATGTTTCCCAGCTCGACGAAGCGCTTAGCTACGCGCCCAACCCGGATGCTTTGAAGGCCGACGACGATGCCGACTCGGATGCGGGCGAGAACGACGACGAAGACTCGTACGAGGGCAAGAAGTCCAAGGACGGTGTGTACCGCGCCCCCCGCATGGCGTCCGTGCCGTACGACGAAGAGGAGAAGGAGGCCGATAAGAAGGCCAAGCGCGACGAGCGCAACCGCAAGCGCCTCGCCAAGAGCACGATCTTGTCCGAAGTGCGCGAAGAGTACAGCGAGCGGCCGCAAGAGATCCTCACGAGCGGCTCGTCCGCGCTCGACAAGGAGCTCGCGAACGAAGCGCGCGAGAAGACCGACTACGAAGAAGAGCGGTTTGTGCGCCTCGTCACGTCGCGCAAGGACAAGATCCGCAAGCGCCAGCGCGAACGCGACGCGATGGCCGCCGACTCGATCGGCAAAATCGACAACTTTGCCGGCATCCACGAAGCGCTCGGCGACGTCGTCAAGGGCCAAAACAAGGGCCGGTACGTGGCGCCCGCCCAGGGCAAGAAGATTGGCGGCAAGATTGGCGGTATCTTTTCGCACTTGGAGGCGCCGAGCGCCAAGAAGCGGTCGGCCAGCGCGGCGTCCGGCCCGGCGTCGACGCCGGCGTCAACGTCGACGTCGAGTGCGCCGACGGGGAAGAAGCAAAAAGTCAAGTTTTCGCTCAACCTGTAAACTCAACGTTGCTCCATTTGTTTATACGATCTCGGACAAGTTGTCGTCTTCGTACCCCTAGATAGATGTGAGCGTGGAGCGGCAGAGGACACTTTTCATCCATAGAAAATGTGACAGTCCCAGTGCCTGTCCAAGATGGACTGCGGTCCACCGTTGGGTTTAAGGGCTTTGGTATCGGAAGCGAGGATTGGCTGTACAATTGTACTACGTCGTAGATAGTCGCGGCCAACTAGCTTACCAACTCGTGTCGACCAAAGAATGTACCTGGTAGCTATCTTCTGCGAGACCTGTGGCCGTCATCGAAACATTTAACTCGTCTCGAAAGGCGGTAAATGTCGGGTAGAGAGCCACGTCATACAAAAGCTAGCAGCCTTTGTCGAGCACACCCACTGCGACGAAACGAAGTCTTGCGCTAGCTCCTAATTGCGACCAACGTGGGCTTCTCTATGGAGACCCGGCGAAATGCTTTTGCGTATTTACGTTTATAGCCGTTCAACTCATCTCGAAAGGCGATATGTGTTGGTTAGAGAGTACTCGCACATATCAGCCGAAGCACATGAGGTACTTCATCGATCAACTTTGACGAGATGCGATTCGCCGCTCAGCGCACTCACAAAAACGCATAAGAGACCTGGGTCCAGCTGACATAAAACACGACTGGTGATATATTTCAACACCACAAGAGAACAAAACTAACAATTCCTAGAATTAAATACGACTGGTTCACACATGTAGCCACTCACTCGAGTGCCATGAGCACCTGCGCCATGCTCGGCCGCTTGGACGGGTCGTCGCGGAAGCACTGCGTCACAAGGTCTTGTAGATGCAGCGGAATCGCCGTTGACAGCGCCAAGCGGTCGCCCGACAAGACGCGCGCCGCCGCCTCGGCCCCGCTTAGACCTGCAAACGGACTCACGCCGTGGTACGTCTCCCAGATCAGGACGCCGAACGAGTAGACGTCCGACTGGTACGAAAACGCATGCGGCGGCGTCAGCGACTCGGGCGCCATGTACTTGAGCGGCCCCGTCCCGTGCGCAAAGTAGCTGCCACCCACCGCGCCGACGCGCCGACACATGCCAAAGTCGCATACTTTCGCGTTCAGCGTGGCGTCCACGAGGCAGTTGCTAGTTCAGATTGGAGGGTCAGATGCATCGATAGCATCTCATCACTGAGGCAAGAGACGAGATCGTACCGGGCCGCAATGTCACGGTGGATGAACCGGCCTTCGTGCATGTTGAGAAAGCCGGACGCCGCGCCCTTGAGAATCTGCTGCTTCTGCTCCACACTCAACGTGGATCGCTGGTCTTCGAGGCTCCCGAACGGCAAGTACTCGGTCACGAGACTCAGCGGCTGCGAGAGGTCCGTGCACGCACCCACAAACGGCACAATGTTGGGGTGGTGCCCAAACAGCGAGAGCACCGCGGCTTCGTGTCGAAACTCTTGCACGATCTGGTCTTGGTTGTCGCCAAACTCGCTCGGCCGGAGTGTCTTGACCACGACCTAGACAACGAGATCGCAGAGTCCGATCGGAGACAACGTACGTCTTGGCCGCGGTACCGAGCGCGGTACGCGTCGCCAAAGTTGCCTCGACCGACAAGGTTCTTCATCTCGAGCTCGTCGTACGCGATCTCTTCGTACGTCTCGGGCAACATCTCCAAGCTCGACGCTGTCACTTCGACCGGTCCCGCCTCGTCATCGTCTTGCTTCTCCTTGACGGGCTTGGACGACGCAAACACATACGACCGCAGACGCATGACTTGCGCGCCCAGCACGATCGATGCCGCAAAGAGCACTTGTCCGTCGACAATCGCTTTGCCTTGGACATTGTAGGAGACGTGGGTGACGTGGCCGTCCCACTCCAACGGCTTGGTCGCGGCGTCCAGCAGCCGAAAGCCGTCTGGCACGGACAGCGTCACGTGCACGCGCGCGCCGCGGCGGACGTGCATGAGCACCTCGCGCGAGAGCTGCTTGGCGCCATCGTCGTTTCGAGTCGTCGCTTCTTCGCGCATCTCGTCGCGTTGGTGGACGAGGAAGGCCCAGATGGAGAAGGTAAAGACACTGGTGCTGACAACCGGCGGGCAAAAGGCTGAAAAGTGCACCGGGTCGATCGTGCTCAAGGACCGAGCAGAGATTGTTGGGTCGTCAATGGCGCGCCAGACGCGGGGCAGCTGGAACGACTGCGACGGGCGGTTCGTCGGCGAGAGCACATCGTACTTGACCAACCCCGTGAGATTGGCTGGCGTCTCTTTAAAGGAATCGAAATTGACGCTGCGGTAGACGCCATAGCTTGGCGCTTCGTACGAAGCTGGGAACGGGTCGTAGTTGGGCGCTTTGGCAGCTGGTGCAACCACGAGCCTCCGGTGTGGCACTTCAATCAGCTCGTGTGCTTCAAGGAGCGTCATCATCGACGATTGCCGAGCGTAGTTACGTGACGACTCGGTGTGCAGGAGTCGTTGGCGCTTCGCCTCCTCGTGCGGTCCAATACTCGAACGTGGGCTGGACACGGAGATGCTCTCAAGCAGCGGGATTGGCGTCGGCGGCGGCTTGTTGGCATGCAACTCGGGCGGGTCGGGTACCGGAATGCAGTAGAAATCGGTGGCGCCGCTTCGAATGGTGAGACCGAGCGCATCTTCCCCGTGCACAGCCGTGGGTGGCACGCGCAGGGCCGAGTCGTCAAACTGCACGTACCCGTTGTGCATGAACCGGAGCGTCTTGCCGTTGCTGCTTGGCGGCGGCGCCACGACGTCGGTCGTTGAGTACTTGTACCGGGGGCGAAAGATCGGGTCGATGCAGACCGAGCAGACGCGGCAAATGATGTGGGCAAGGATGCGCAGGACGAGGATCGTTCCAAGGACGACGCCGACGGTGACAAAGGCCAAGCTCACGCCCGTGTACGGTATGTCGTCGGCGTCGCTTGGTGCGACGATCGTGTCGTTGAAGAGCGTGGAGTTGAGGAGCGTGGAGTTGAAGTCGTTGGGCGATTCCCAATTGTACACGACGTCGGCAAAGTAGAGCGGGTGGTAGATCGTAATGTTGATGCGGTTGATAGCGCCAAAGACCGTGCTCTCGAGCGACTTCCATAGGACAAAGTAGAAGGCGACGCGCCAAATGTACGGGCCGACCGCGACCGGGCGCGACGGGTCGACGTAGCGTTTGAGCTCGTAGACGTTCCGGACGCGTATTTCCCAGCGGCAGATCCACTCGAGGAAGCCCGTGTAGATGTTTTCTTCGAGGAACGAGCGGAAAAAGGCTTTGAAGCCGCCCGACTGGCACGGCGCGAGGCACGCTTGCAGAAGGAACGAGATCAAGACCCAGACGACCCAGATGGTAAAGGCGAGCGCGTTCACAAGGAGGTAGCTCAGCATCGCGAAGAAGAAGAAGATGACGAGCCGCCGCAGCGACCGGTCGCCGCCCAAGACCCACGACATCCCGTGGAGACTGCAATTCAGCAAAATGAGAAAGGCGGGGTTGACTTGTCGAGTATTCTCTCACGACTGCCTCAATATTGTACGAGATTGAGCTCCCGCATGGAGATCGAAAGGATGGAGAGCGAGCACACTTTGCGACAAGCACTACTCTGCAGGTCTACCACGCTACGCAAGACATTCACTACCTCTTGTACGTTTACTTGGCCCCATGTCAGCGTGTCGGTGAAGCACGGTCGAGACGCTTAGAGGGATTTAATGGAATATTTGAATATTGGTACGACCAATATATTTAATGGAATATTTGAATATTTGTACGACCAATATATTTCATCTCATTTACACACTTCGGCGCCATCGAAGTCATCAGCGAAACGCACAGGACCCACCGACCACCTCGCAGGTCTACCGGTGCAGGAAGCAGGGCTCCATCGCCTAGTCCTTTAAATGCGATAGACATAGGGGCACTCGATGAGCTGTACACTCTGCGTAGTGCTTCGGAGCAGGCGCGGAGTAAACCGGATATTGCTCGGCGATCACCATATCCCAATAGCGTCTCGATATTGCCAGCCCTCAATATTGGTCCTCTGCCGAAAATTGTAATATATATTCACGTCGCCAGATGGCGTCGTAAGGCGCGTGACATGGTCGACCAAGCAAGCTTCGCGCCCATGCTGCCACCGTGGGTCCTCGGCGGCGACCGGTCGTTCCGCCGGCTCGTGCTCTTCTACGCCTACAGCCTCCCGACGCTACCGCTGCTGTGCTTTGTGGGCTTCTACCTCTGGCTCTTCTGGCTCGCCTTCTCGTTCGTGCTGCAGCTTTTGTTTGCGCCGTTTGAGCGGACCGCCGGCTTGCGCGGCTTCTGGCGTGCCTTTCTGCGCGAAAACGTCACGTCCGGCTTCCTCGAGTGGCTCTGCCGCTGGGAAATCCGCGCCCGGAACGTCTACACGCCCAAGCTCTACATCGAGCCGACGCGGGACGTGGTCTTGGAGCCGTACCTTCTTCGCGTTGCGACCTACTTTGTCGTGTGGAAGTTCATCGAGCTCTGCGTCTGCGCCGGCCTCGTCGTTAGCTCTACATTCTTCTTTGTGGACGCGCAGCTCAGGGGCAATCTGCACATCGTTGGCATCCTGTACATCGTCCTGATCTTGCCCGTCGCCTTGCGCCTCCTCGCGCTCGCCAAGGTTAGCTGCAGCACGTACTGCCTCACGCCTGTCTTTGAGCCCGACTTTGCCTACATCGCACTCTTCGACGAAGGAATGCTCGAGGTCGTCAAGGACCGCGCACGCCGGCGGGTCACCCCCGGCAGCGACCTCGTCGACGGACTCTCGATCGTCGCGCCGTCCAACGGTGACAACGCGTACTACTGCATTCCAGTGCCCACCAAATGTGCCAATATGTATCCCGATGCGACGATCCCGATGCTACAGCACTCGGCCGAGAGCCTCCCGCAGCTGCCGCCGCAGGACGAAGCCGTGGCCATGCAACCACCGGTGTCCGTTGCGATGCGACCGCCAGAATCGATGACGACGCGTGACTCGAACACGCCCGAGAGTATTTTGCCTGACGTACTGCCGCGTGTGATCTACGTCACGGAGCCTCTGCAGGCCCCTGTTCCTACGTACGACCCGTTCACCGCGTCGTACCAAGACGTACCTTTAGGCGCCTACCGCAGCCTGGACGTGCCGATTCACAGCACGCAAACGCTTCCGCCAGCACTGCGCTACGACGACGCTAGCTCCATAGTAACCTACGACACGCTGTCACCGACTGCTTCGCTCAGTTCCCAACAATCGCAGTCGTTCCAGCTGCCCCGCGTCTCGCGCGCCATCGACGACCCTGCAATCTCTGCTCGGTCCTCGACCACGATCGACCCGGTGCACTTCTCAGCCTTTTGCCCGCCGGTTGTTAGCACAAGTGTCTTTACCTTCTCCATCTGGGCCTTCCTCGTCCACCAACGCGACGAGATGCGCGAAGAAGCGACGACTCGAAACGACGATGGCGCCAAGCAGCTCTCGCGCGAGGTGCTCATGCACGTCCGCCGCGGCGCGCGCGTGCAC